CCCCAAAACCCCAAAACCCCAAAACCCCTTTTTCATTTGCAAATATTGAATAAGCCTGTTCAGTGGTTATGAACCAAGTCCCTTTGCCTTTGGGAAATGTTTCTGCTTAGTTCCCTTCTTGCTCTCGATCTTATTGACACTTTGGGCATTTGTCATTGTCTCGACCATAGAGACAATATCTCCTTTCTTCATCTTCTTAGCAGTAATAGGTCTTTTACCACTCTGGAGACCTTTCTTTTTCTTATCCTTCTTTTTCTTTGATTTCTCAGGATCTTCTCTTTCAGCTCCATTTTCAGTATATTTATAATAAATCGCTTGCTGTTGTTCTGTGACTGTTGGAACTAACTCTTCTTCTTCTCCCTCTTCTACAAGAATGTTGCTGATCATGCTCTTAACTCTTTGGGAAGCAGCTTCTTTGTAATCTTCTTCCTCAGAATCATCTTCAAAGTTGAGAATGTGTTCGTATAAGAAATTAGATTCCAGTTCTTCGATCTTCTTTCCTTCCTTCTTAGCTTTCTTATTCTTTTTAATATTATTTCCTGTATACTCAAGGTTTGGGATCTGCCACTCTTTGACCTCCTCGTTCCATTCAGCTCTCCGTTCGATTTTAACATATTCTGAGGCTGGCATGTAATTATCGATTATGAGGTGTTTCAGCCTGATATCGTTAGTGAGTTCTCTTATACGCATCATTAGGCTTTCTCTCTCCCTTTGGATATCAATTTCAAGGTCGTTCTTCTCATCTAAGGCACCTCGGTACTTGGTCCATATTTTCTGGTATTCCTCTTTCTTGCCTACAAGTTCTTCTGATTGATTCTTATATTCTTTCTGAAGATTGATCTTCTTGTCTTCAGCTTCTTGGAGTTCCTGTTGGATTCTGAGCTGTTCTCTTCTCTTCTCCTCAACATCAGCTCTGGTCTTTTGAAGTTCTATTTCTTGCTTCATAGCTTTGTTCATGACTTCATTTCCGATAAGAACTTTCTCCTCCATATTTTTGAGACGCTTCAGAAGTTTCTGCTGTTTTGTCTTGGACTTCTCCTGATCCTGTTCTTTCTTCTTAAGGTCGTCGAGAAGTTGCTGTCTTTCTTCCTCAGCAATATTCTTTTGCTCTATAATATTCTTTCTCTCCTCTTCTGCTTTAGCTTTGATGAGAGCTTTTTCTTTTTCGATTTTCTTCTCAAGTTTTTTCATTTGCTTTTTGTCAGCTTCGTAGACTACCTTTTCGACCTCTACGACCCCTCCAGGAGCTGGAGTACCGTCTGGGTTGAATTTAGCTCCTCCAGCCATTTCAAGCTGTTGACGAAGTCTTTGGATTTCTTCTTGGAATTCTCTCAGCATTGCATCCTTAGGATCCTCGTTGATCCGAGGCTTATTTTGGATATGCTTGGCTCTTGATGCATATCTTAGAGTAGACAAGGTTTCATCCATGTTATAGTCTGCTGGGCCAATATTAGCGACCATGACAGTCTTTGTATTTCCTCCAAGAGAATCTTGCAATAGACGGGTCAGTTTGGAATCTCTGTAAGGAACATAATTACTCTTTCCATCAACCAGAGAGGAGATTACATGACACAAGGTTGTCAGAGATAAATTGATTTTGATAGCTTCTTCAAGTCTGACTCCTTCGGCTTGGGTCTTACTTTGTTTTTCAGACCCAGCCAAATCAACCATATTTAATTTACCGACTTTAATATGTGCTTTCCCATCAGCTCCAACTTCTGCACATTCAATAGTGACTGTGAAAATAGAATGAGATCTTGAGGACTCATGGTTCATTTTGGTTTGTCCTACATGTCTGTTCTTATTACCTCTGACCATGATCTCCATAAGCTTTGCTGGGTTTTCTACAAGAGCTGTGGAGAGATCTTTGACATAGACTCCAGAACCTGGCTTCTCTTTTAACTCAAGCTTCTGAACTCCTCCTTTATTGAGTAGATCAAGCACTTGCTCTTTGTAGATTTCAAGATAGGATGCTCTGACCAGATACTGCTTAGTCTCATCAATATTGATAGAGTTGAAAATGGTCTCAAAAGCTCTAGGGGTAATGCCTTTATGTTCATCACTATCAAGAATTCCTGCCATTGTATGAGTTTTGCCAGTACCAGTCTGTCCGTATGCAAATATAGTCCCATTGTATCCTTCCAGAATATTTTCAATAATAGGAAAAGCAGTCTCATCAAAAATATCTTTTTGCTTAGTATTTTCATCATACACACAATCAAATGTGAATCTTTTTGGGACTTCTTCAACAGATTTCTGCACGAGAACTTCTCCATTAGCATAGTCCATGTTGACTACCTTTTCTCTGCCTTCGGCTACTTCCTTCTTACTTAAAGGTCTGCATCTGATAACCACTCTGACGGTCTCAGACTTCTTCTGGATGCCCATCTTCTTCAGTTGCTTATGTTCCATTTGGATGAGATTATTTTGAAATTATTTAGGTTCAAAAAAATTTGGGTTAAATGGGGTTTTGGGGTTTTGGGGTTTTGGGGTTTTGGGG